GTCTGTCTGTCCGTCGGCCTGTCTGTATGTATCTATGTATGTGCATATCTATACATGCACATGTATACATATATTCATATAAATCTCAAGACCAATACCAGGAACACTTTAGTTGTGAATGAACAGGTGGACCAGAGCGCTGCTGACCAGTTCTCGGTCTACTGGGTGAATGGCAACCCGGGCTACAACTGCGATCAGGTTTGTGCCACGAGGCAGCTCAAGGGCCAGCGTATGGCTTGTGATGCTCGTGCTTTCGGCTTGACTCCTGATGCTGCCGGGATCATGAAGGCAGCCCAATCAGCAGGAACTCGCTGTGCAGCGACTTGGGCAAACAATGGTGCCTATGGCCACACTTTTGACAATGTGCCGGCCATTTGCATGGAGTCCAAGTGTGGCGTGGATCCTCACGGTCTGTGCGCCTACAGTCCCAAGAATGCTGCGACTTGCGCGGGATCCGTACCCAAAGGCTATGGACGAATCTGCCCTTGCAATGTGGCCACCAACTCAGCACCAGCACCGCCAGCACCTCAGCAGCCGCAGTACACACTCCCCTCGCCTGGGCCGCATCCATCGCAGTACATGCCCCCAGCGCCAGCGCCTCACCAGCCGCAGTACACACCACCTACACCACCAGCACCTGCGCCTGTGAAACCGGCAGGGAAATGCATCACCAAGACGGACGTGAGCTGCACCATGAAAAGTTGCAGCAAGAAGATGGGACCGACTGAGTGCAAGTACAAGGATGGCAGTTGGATCCACAAACGGTGCTCGTGCAAAAAAGGCTACTGTCTGCAGAAAGACAGGTGTGTGAGATCTAATTAGCCGCACACTTCCATGCACACTTCCTGGCACGGCCAGAAGCAGCTGTGCTCAGGCAGTTCGCAGTTCTTCGGCGATAGCCTGCGAAAAAGGATTGATTTCACGATGCATGCCCACCGCTTCTGGTTGCCCCAACCTCATGACACGTTGAGGCTCCTGCTACTTGCTGGAGAGCGAAAAGTGGCCTGAAAAGGTTCCCATATTGAGAAAGACTCGAAGGACACAGGGGTAAATAAAAGTTCCATATAGTGTCGCGATCAATGATACAAGCTTGTTGCAAAAGCAGCAAAGTTGACCGCTCCATTGGTGCCTTATCTGATATCTGGTGTAATGAAACCTCCCAGAAGGCACCTGCTGGAGCGCCTAATGTGAGAGGCTCAAACTAACTTACCACGACAAACTGAACCCCAAACTCTATTCTTGCAGCCCTAAACCTCAGATTCCGACCGTCTCAATCTCAAAATCGTGAACCTAGAAGCTTACTTCTTATGCTTGAGTTTGAGACCCTCAGCCCTTAAAAGCCCTAACTAGGTTTGCAGACCCGCGCCTGCGATGCTAAATTGCAATCCCTAAAGTCTACAAGCCCACAACCTATCTCTTTTTTCACCTCGAATTCTGAGGTCGTGAAGTGAATGCTTGCTACAACCAGCTTCCCAGCGTCGCTGGGAAGTTCATGCTCTGAGGGGCGTTGTAGCTAGGACTAACTCGCCAGGGTTTAGGGTTTCTTACTTACTGGTTTCTGAACTGGATGTCAGGGCTCCCGTTGGTTTTAAACTCCAAAGCCAGAGAACCTTGTAGCCTTGCGCAAGTCTGAAATCCCTAGATCATCCCTCGTTTGGTTTAGGGCTCACAGGATTTATGGCAAGGGTTGGGGTTCAGGGTAGTTCAGGGTGTCAGCCCTCTTCTCGGAGCTATGGCTGCGCATCTGCCTGAAGGGCTGCCTCCACACACCACGACGCTGGTGTTCCACAGCAGTAGGTCGGGCTGGGTTCGGGGTCCAATGAGGGTTTGGGAATACCGCCAATTTAGGGGTGATAAGTCTGAAGGTCCTTGCGGTGCGTGATGCCACTTTGCGGAAGATGTAAAACGTTTCGAGCTCGACCCCACAGTGAGAAACTATGGCATGCTACCTGGCCACTAGTTTAGTTCCAGAGTTACAAGAATCAAGATCATGCGCAGGGAAGCCAAGGGGACAAAACCTGCCATGTCGGGTTCTTCTACAATAAGCGGTCCTTTTTGGGGTGTCCTGGTAATGTAGTAAGGGGCCGATCAATTTAGGGTCTTTGTGAGGTCAGGTTTTCTTTTGACATTCTATCGTCAATCTTATGCACCCCTGCAACATGGGCCGAAGACCCCACGACTGAGCGGTTTAGGGTTTAGGGCGTTGGCTTTGGGTTATGGGGTCAGGATTACCGATTGTCTGGTATCCGCGAGGTGGGGTTTCTGAGGTTTAAGCAACAGATCACAGCGCCGCAAGTCCTAGGTGCACCTGTGTGCATTCGTCCAGTCCGGCCCGGTCTGAACTTTACTGCCCCAAATTGTGGGAAGTTTCTACCGCCCACAAGGGTATGTTGATGCAGTCATCATGGATACTTCAATACTTCCACCCACATCTACTATACCACTGTATACCACTGCCACCAAAGCTGCTGCTGCTGCTGCTGCTGCTGCTGCTGCTGCTACTAACCACTACCGCTACAGCCACTGCTGCTGCTACTGCAGCTGCTCCTGCTTCTGCTCCTGCTCTGCTCCTGCTCTGCTCCTGCTACTGCTACTGCTACTGCTACTGCTACTGCTACTACACTACTACTACTACTAGTACCACTACCACTACTACCACCACCACCACTAATACGACTACGACTATTGCTGCTGCTGCTGCTGCTGCTGCTGCTACTACTACTGCTACTACTACTCCTCCTACTACTTCTGCTTTAGCTTCTGCTTCTACTGCTGCTGCTACTGCTACTAC